TCAATAGCTCAATTCATGAAGATCACAACATTGCTGATAGTCCTTCCGCTCTTCTCATGATCTGGGTCGCGGCTCTGCTAGCCAACGTGATCATGACTCATGATCGCAGGCTCCTAACTGAGGCCAACCTCGGTCGCAAGGCTGATGTTGGTGCAGCCACTGATGCCAACAAGGCTGCGGTAGTGGTAACAATCAATACTGATGGTGCTGATTATGATACGAACACGGATTATGGCAAGTATAAACCAGGTCAGGACTCATTTGGATCTGATACTAGTAGTCACCATCATTATCCGACCGATCAAAACCCTAACAAACCGCAACATTAATTAACTTAATTAGTACCCACAGCTATTTAATGGACAGTCAAGGAATATATATATAAAGTGGAAAAACACCTATGCACTTTTTTTTTTAAATCAGTAAAGCACCTATGCACTTATGTTTGGTTTCACGAAGTAATGCATCGTTATGGAAATCTATGACTAGTACTTTGTATTTGAGAAAAAATATTGGTATATATCCTTTGATTTAATATACATGTTAAGTTGTTAACACTATCAGTTTAGTTATTAGAACTTATAACTTTAAATTTTTTCCTTTTTGATTCAATTTTAAAAATAATCACTTTTTAATAAATATATTAAATCGAATGGTGTCTATATCAATATCCATTTGCAAAATTATATATAGTACTATATATGGAATCCATGTGTTATATATATGGTGTGGATTAATAAAACGATTGCTTCTGGCATGATACCTTGCTATCTTGTGTTACTATTAATTTCCCTATAATTAACTAGGAATTGATTTAGCACAAATAGCTCGAAACCCGTGCTAAGAAATTAATTAATTACAACTCTCTCCGTTCCAAGTAATTTAGTTGTCTTAATCAGTTATCTTAATTAGTTATCTTAGTGGCTGTGGAAGGCATGTGCCAAATGGTGGGGGATCAATGTAACGCTGGACACTAATTGCTGGAAAACGTTTGAGCTGAGCAGTTCGGGGAAGGGAACAAAGACTCACGCATCAGGGAAGGCTGAGATTGCATTTGGAATGCTGTGGTTTGGTCGGTGTGGCTAGTAAGAAATCAGAAGATATTTAATCACTCAGAGCTAAACACGGAGAAGCTGCTGGAACTTATACAATTGAAATCTTTTCTATGGATTAAAGCAAGAATTAAGACCAGGTGCACCTTTAATCTTTCTGATTTTTTTTTTTTTTGATCAGCAAAATAAATTTTATTATATGGAGTACTCCTGCCCATCTACAATAATTAAAACTCACTACATCCAAAACATATTAAGAAACGAAATCCCAATTTGAAAACAAGAATCCAAAAATGAGCTTCCATCATCCATAACTTCAGCTTTAAAATTCCTCAAAACCTGTCCTCGACATCAACAAGAAAGCAACCAGAACAG